AAAATTTTAATAATTTGATTTGTCAGATAATTACATGAAGGACCTTTTGCAGTGGAGGTTGTCGAACCAATGAATATGAATAGAAGACGTGGGTGGTCAGAGTCAAATTCAACAGATATAGGTCAGACCAACTGACTTGGACGAAATAAGCATCATAATGTGTCTTTGCTGTGTACACATTCACAGCTCACTTCAATAAATGTTTTTGTTTGGCTGAAAGCCTTTCACTGAGGTATGAATCTGAGGATATAAATCTGAATGTCTTCAACACTGACAGCTGCAGGAGCAACACGTACCATCAAATCACAGAGGAAAGCTTTTAATCACAAATTAAACAATGAGCTCCTTTTTCTCTGTCTAAACATTTCTATGTGTGTGTTGATCAGGCTTGCCCGTCACTAAACAAAACTGCCGCCGCTTGAATCTGCTTAAGTCAACCACTATCCAGTGCCATAGATGCTATTTTTTGGAAAAGGAAAAAAGAAGTGGTCATGTCCTTGAGCTACAGAGATGTGTGGTGAATAATAAACATAGTGGGAACTGTTCGAGGAACTACAAGTTCCTACAACACACTTTTAAATGAGCCCTATGACAGTTTGGCACCCGCATAGGGTGATAGATGGGTCTCCTTATCTGCAGAGCTCTGAGGAAGCAGTTGTGACATATGAGGAGTCAATGAAGTAAACAGCTGGAACAAGTGGATGGGTCTGCATTTACATTACATCTCAGTAATTGTTCCTGTAGTGGTGAATGTTTCTACAGAAGTACTGCATCATGAGTTGTCTTATCCACTACCAAGATCTCGACATATTGGATCTACACAGATTTGGGAAAATTGGGTTATTTAAATGATCTGCTGCAAAAATCCAAATTTAAGCAACATTCCAACACGTTGCTAAAAAGCAATTAACTCCACACAGTCATGAAAACATACTTGTATGATGCCCCCTATTGGAAAACTGCTACCCGACTAATGATATGTACATTAGTGATATTTACAATTAACAATGAATAATTAATCAAACCAGTTGTTCATTGCTACTATAATAATAGGAGATGAAAGTTTAAGATGAGTTCAACCTGTCTCTGATGCAGCAAAATCTTAGACTGACATGTTTGCGCGCTTACATTTTGCACAAAGCAAAAGATAAGCCATTCTTACTTATTTAAAATATATTATTAAAGCCTTAATTTTATATAAAAACAAATAAACTATGATCATGTCCCAGTCTTGAGAATTATGACTGTTGCACTGTGGACAGATATTTTGCTCCTAACACTTCCAATCAAGCCAAACACACACAGAGAGCCCTTTAAAATGAATGTGCTGGTTAGGGGTGTAACTGGCTCCTCTGGGGGAACACTACTCATTCCCTGAGGGGCTGGAATTTCTTCACTGCACTATTCCCACTCACACCCAGACCCTCTGCTCATACAAATAACAGTGCGGCAGGAAGTGCTCTTTAATTATGGGAGGTGTGTGCGTGATGTGATTTCTTTTAAAGCATAATAACCCGAGCTGTAATTAAGAGCATTTGATGCAGCCAACGACTGTCACTCTGTGAACCAGAGTGAACCTGTGAACCAAACCGGCTAGAGGGCTGTCTTGCACCTCCATCTGCTCCTTTGGCAAATGAGGAGGCTGATGGTAACATAAGTATGGGCAGGGTGACTTGGTTACCCGTCATGAGAGAAAACGCATATGATATGGTGTTATTACCCATCGAGGAACTGTCTGTCTTCTTTTGCCAACAAATATGACCTGAAATACTTTTATCGTGAGAGCATGACTTCTTTATATGTTATTGTTGACACAACAATGGTGAAATAACATCTTCTGCAGGAAGACATGAGAACTCTACAGATGATACACGAATGCCAAATGCCTTGAAAACTTAAATAGGATTTTTCTCTTTTTTCTCCAGTTTATCCCTTCATGCATCAGTTTGCATCTGAATTATCTCTGGAATCTTGAACACTGTGTAACAATTGACATTGGCTTCTTACCTGAAAAAAAAAATAAAAATAAACACACACTCAACCCAACCTCTGCATGGAATATAATTCATAAAGGACACAGACACAGTGGATTGGATTAATCAGATGGCCTCATTAATGTTGCTTTAGTTGTAAAAATCACTTCAAGGGAACTGATCCAATATTGGAAGGACAGTGACAGAGGTGGGGAGGAGCCATTCGGGTCTGATCTAAGCATTGGATGCAAGAGCAGCTGCACAAAAGGGATTTTAAGTCTTCTTGGCATTCCACATGCTCCACTCCCTTCAGTGGTCAATCCAGGTTAATTACTCAAACAGCAGATAAGGATCCTCTTCAAACCTGCATAGATCTGCATGTGCTACAACATTGCAACCTCTGATTCGCTCCCTAGATTTGTTACAATGTCTGAGCCACGTGTTGGGAAAACACAGAAGCCTGCCTTAATCATTGTTTCACTGTTGATATCGGTTTTATAACATGAGATTTGAATTGGTAGTCCATTCAAAAGGAACACATCTGTTGTTTATGTTACCCAAGGCTGGCACGGGTTCAAGGCATTTAGCTGAAGGTGGAGGCGGATGACTCGGCATGCGGTGCTCGATTAGTCTGCTGTTCTCTGCAGCACCTGAGGCTAATGTACATACTGTCAAAACTATAATTTACTGCGTAAAATGGGCAGGCAAGTTCCACTAGTACAGTAGGAAAGTTTTCATCCCCACACTGATCAGTAGATGTGGAAATTATTGAAACAAAGCTAATTTGCCACCAAGAATGATTTACATGAAGAAATAACTAGGGTCTGCTCTGAGTTGGTGGCCAATGCTGAAATAGATTAGAATATATCAGCAAATATTATCATAAATGTTGATGTTGGTGATCTGAAGAATGAAACAAAGATATTTTAATGAAATCTTAAAGGATTTTGCAGCAACTTCTCCTCCGCTGTAGTTCTGTGTTGACTCTTGAGCAGCAGCAGCAGTTTCTAAGTATTGTCAACAGTGGAGTCTGCTGGACAAACCATGTAATGATGACAGTGACTCTTAAGTATTACAAGCACCGTTTCTGCACAATTACCTGAAAAGGTGTATTTATTTACTATCAGCATCAATATGTGAAAATTATATCGGACCAGCCAGGCTCTAAACTTCATTAATTTTACAATTATCAATATGTAAAATGGTTTGTTTCATTACTCATCACTCTTTTGATCTAACATCTAATGGAATCTAAAGCCTAAATCTAAACACTTTATTGGATTAGATTGACAGAAAATCACACAATTCTTCTAATCTGGTCGAATCTGCTTTTGTAGCGCAAGAAACAACTTTCATCTACTCTGCAATCATTTGACTGACTGGCTGTCACACCAACTGTTTCATGTTTATGTTATTGTTTTCTCACCTCTGCTCTGTCGCCCTAACAGTCAATCTAGACTTCTATTTGGAAACAGACTATACTGAGGTGTGCGTGAGTGTAGCCGCCTCCATTGCTTTCTATTTTGCTGTGATATCAAATTTGGTGTCAAGAATCAGGGAATTTCAATGGTATTAGTACCAACTACCAATTTTCTGCTGTTGTGTCATCCCTGATCTTTACTATAATAATGTGTAATAACTATTCATCATAGGAGAAGAAAAATACTTATAAAGCCTTATAATAGGCAGCCACTGTTGTGAGACACATCTTATTGATACTGTAGGTGTCCACCAGAGATGCACTACACTTTGCTGTCATTTTTAAATAAGGGCCACTGACAGACTCACTAGGTATCTTGCAAAAAACAGAGCTGTCAGTCTATATTATTTATATTCATGTTGTTGCATTATGTTCCACTTTTTTTTTATAGGAAAGGTACGTGTAGGAAGGGGGATGTTCTTTTTCAGGACATCTGAGAGAGAGGAGATGCTTTCATATGATAGAAGTAAAAAGTGTGTGTGTAAACATTTTCTCCTTTAATAGGAGGCTCTAAGAATATTTTAATGCTTAGTTGAACTAATGGATTCAAAAGGGTATTTAACAAAATGCAGGTGTGTCACTGTGAGGGATGAGGATGAAATGTGGCAGTATTACTCTTGTGAATAGCTCTGAGGGGATTCAGAAAAATAAACTACTGGCATAAAATCTCAAGTGTGTCTGGGTAACTTGAAAGAACTATGCAAGGATACATATCTGAGACATTACTCCAGATTTAAAACGACGTTACATGGACCATTTAACGTACTCACCCTCCCTCACTCTCTGCCTCTTCTGAGCTCCGAGCCTCAGCTCTGGTGCCACTGATAGCGCCCGCAGCTCGTTTCCTCCGTGTTGGCGTGGTTCTGTGTAGGGGGCTGGCTCTACGTGCTTCATCACGCCCCCTCAGCTCCTCCCTGACTTGCTCCTGCAGTGTAGGCAGAGCAATCTTCAATGCCTTCATCTCATCCTTGAGCTCAGATACACACTGGAGCAGGGCCTCGAGGCGCTCCAGCACCTCAGCCTGACCCTCTGGCAGACCTGGACCGTCCACCAACATGATGCCAGGCCCCTGCTCATTAGTGTGGTTGAGGTATGGCCCTGCCCAAGAGGCTCTTCGTCGTGAACTAAAGCCCTGGTAACACATCACAGCCAAACTGACACCAGCCACTCCAGCCAACGCTCCCAGAACCAGCAACTTGCCGTCTGCCTGGGCCATCCTGGATCGCTGCAAAGATCATTAAGAAATAAAGTGTTTTAGGTCATTGATGTCAAAAACATTCAGCTTAATTTCCATATACACATACAAACAGATACAAATATTTAAAAATGGATTTCACAGATAAGACATTTTGGAGGATATAAAAAGAAAATTAAATCAAGTGCTGAAAAATACAAAAAAATGAGATCGGGGACAAAAGCCCCAGAGATCAGAGGAAAAACTATTCTCTATCACTATTTGACTTTTTTGACTGTTTAAGTTCTGACCCAAAAGACTCACCAATACATCATCGACGCCCAAAGAGAGCATAGCTGGAAGTAGGGGTTCAGAGGGTATGACAGTCCTCTTTATTGATTTCTTCCCTGAATCAAACATTTTTTTGTAAAATAAAGAATTGCGACATAAATTTGTCTAAATTATTAATTTTATATTTCTGTACAACATAGATAATATATTTTTTCACAGCCTATGTGGTTGTCGGAAATGATAAGCCTGGCTCCATAGCCTACATGCTGACCCTCAAAATACTCAGGTAACAGGTCAAAGTTAATATCGGAGAAACTGTATTTGTGGCCTACATTCTTCAGAGTTTAACTATAGTTTTAATACACCTTTAATGGAAGTGAGAGTGTTTCTGTTTGACTGCAAAATGAAAAAAAAGTGTGATTCAGACTTATAAACCATAACACGCTAATTTCAGTTAATACAGAGTAGATGGTTGTAATGAAGGTATAGATGGCATTATGGCAAATGTAGTCATGTAAAAGGCTTAAAGAATGTCAGTAAAATGTACAGTTGTGTCTAAATATGCAAGGTTCTACCCACCAGATAACAACTTTTGATTTTGCATTTTAAAGGTTTCATGAATTATACAAGCATGTGTAACATAAGTTATGACTCTTTGACATGTCCTATCACTAAAGATGCTTTGAAAACATCCAAATCTTACTTTCTATATTGATAGCTTTCTAATTCTTAAATTAGTTGATGAGTCAAAGGTACAATTATTGCAGGTGCTGTCACTGCTTATTTCACTGGAAACTTTAACTTGACAGAGCCTATGAGCCTGTGCTTCTCCTCTGCAAGTCAAAGTATCTGCTGTGAATAAAGCCTTTGTAAGATACCTAAACTTTGTAAGAATAAGCATGACAAACTGGAGACACATTACATGAGAAGACATAGGATCCACATTTTAAGTTGCATTAACGACAAATTTTCCAAGCCTCCTCCATGTAAATGTACACTATATATGGAAAACTATTAACTAAAAGGAAACATTAGGTATATTCCCCTTCATTTTATTAGGACAATGTTTAAATTCTGTAGTAAAACCTGTTCTGCAGATAAATTCATGTTGCACACAGAGATATACTACATCCACACTGCAGGCTGTCTTAAATATCCAATATGTGCTCATATGTGTAATGATCAATCGTCTCAACTTTTGAAAGTGTACAAAGCAAGATTATTTCAAATTCCTGATTACAAGGTAACAAGTGGTGTGTAGTGACCAGTAAAGCAATCTGATGACTAGAACATGTCACAACTCAAGGAGAAGGTCAGGGACACAGCAACGTGTGGCTCCTCCAAAAAGAAAACACTAAACTCTTATCTGTGTTTATGCATCATGCTGCCTGTGTACGTCCTCCAAATGTAACTGTTGTTGTTTGAGTCGATCCAAACGTATATACAAAGTTGGAGGAACACAGCAGGGGCGACTGTGGCTCAAGACATAGGGCAGGTCGTCCACTAACCAGATGGTCAGGGTTGAATTCCACTCCCCACAATTTTTAAAGAAAATAATCAACCCCAAATTGCCCCCTAGCCTGACGACTGTGCCACTAGTGTGCAATTGATGTGTGATTTAGAAAGCACTGCAAATAGATGTACTCGATGAATGTGCGTGTGAACCTTTATATACAGTCTATGACGTGATCAGGTGAATGGCAAACCTGCCCTGTGAAGTGTTTTGAGTGGTCATCAAGACTAGACATTTACAACAGGAGATGAATAATAGCTTTTTAAATCTTATTCGAAAAGTTGTGCACAGTAATTCTAAACTTTACCTCTGTCCTGCTTTGGTTTAAGCTCTTGTTGTTTAAGCATCTACCATAAACAAAACCCTCTATGAGACAGCAGACATTTGAATGTGTTGGTGATTTCTATCGTTGTTATTGTAAAGCGTCCTTGGGTGTCCTGAAAGGCAATATATAAACCTAAGTTATTATTATTATCATTATTTATAACAGGAAAAGAGCTGATAGCATTGATGATGGGTCTGTTCTGTGCACCAGCGTTGCAAAGTACCAAGACCCTGAAACCAAAGCAGCTAAATGGAATCCAGCCTTAGTTCATGATATAACACACACCAGAGCTTTTCATCCGACGTGTCACAATGACTGCAGAGAGAGAAGCCAACACAAAACCATTCACACTGTGTTTACAAGGAACTGGCTGCTCACCCAGCTTAGATAATTGGATCAACGCGTTTCTAAGAAGGCGCATAAACTAGGCTGCCAGCAGACACTTTTTACAACGAGAGAGTCGAGCTTCACCCTTTGGCTAAGAGCTGTTTTCATCCACACGACTGGTTCAATGAGCTGCCAGTGACCCTGCTGCTGCCACCACGGTAATGCTAACACCATCACACTGAGGCTAACACTGAAAACCCAGTCACTCACCGAGGCTATGGAGTTAAAACTGTTCCCACACAAAGCACAAGCACAGCACACATGTACACACGGTTGTTCTTTTTAAATACCGACAGAACAGACGACATTAGAGACCTTACTGTGCAGCTAGCAGCCTCCTCTGTTGCTCAAACAACTCTCTCTGGTGCAACCGCCTAATGGTTCCGGGCGGGATCACGCGCCACTATGAGGGGTTCCGGTGACGTGATCTTACGCCACAAACAGCCGTTCAGTGGAATACTGACCTTTAAATATATTTAAACTGGAAATAAGGACTGGATTGGTTAAGATGTTAAATACTCCTCAGTCATATAGACAACTGCAAATAGATTTTTTTTTCTACCTACAGTATCTTATTCCACTGTATTTTTATTGTATCCAAATACCATTTGGGGATGAATAAAGTAATCTATCTATCTAACTATCTATCTATCTATCTATAGCTAGATGATATATTATCATGTATTATAATAGGCCTCACTATTACGTTGTGCTACAGTATTAAGTTGCCAGTGTATTATATTTATAAAAGATAATGTAATAGACACAACAATTTCCCAACTGGGATCAATAAAGTTCATCTATCTATCTATAAATGTGTGTGAAATCTAGTGGCACCTTCAACACGTTTAAATCTTTTGCACCAGAATTATCTTCTTTCAGAGGAGCTCTCATCAGTCTTATCGGCGCAAAACACCAGTGAATAATCTGAGGCCAAAGTTCGAACAAGATCTACCGCAGTGCAAAGAGTTTGTTGTTAAAAAGTAGCAACATAGACATGCAATAAAAACTGTCTCTAAAGGGAGTAATATGTTGTGTTTTCCTTTTAGAATATTCCCAGTCTCATCTGCATCTGTTATAGCACATATACTTATTTCTGTCTGAGTAAACAGTATAATGACTTTTCATATTACTAAGAATACATATTATACGGCTCATAATCATAGTTCCATAATAATGAGCTCAAATAGTGACTCACCCTTTAAGATTTGCTCCTCTCTCAAGTTTGTCCCTGCAGTAGACTTGGATAGAACATTCCACAGGATTTAAGAAGTTAATAAACACATGTATTATCACATCAACCTTGGACCTGCAGTCACTGAACAAAGACCTACTCTGGCAGATTTGTATTCAACACATCACATTTGGCTGCAGAGGAGCATTAGAATGGTTAACTAGAGGTTCCATATGTTCTGTGTGTTCCACATTCACATTCAATTGTGTCCATATATCTGATATATTTATCATGTTATTGTTTATTTTTTTAACATTTATTTCTTTGTAAATGATTTTCACCAGATGCTTGAGTTTAAACACTTCCTCATATTCATCAATTCATCACATTAAAACTAAATTGTGATGAAGTATGTCTGTGGAGATTCTCAGTCATCCAGGTCATGCTATATATAGGAGGCCATCCCCTTTATTTACGGATTCCCCAAGATAACAAGGAAGGAGTCCCACTCAGACCCATCAGCAGCAGCATCAACTCGGTCACATACAACATTGCCAAATACCTAGCCACCATCCCCTCTCATCTGGTTGGTAACACCCCACACCACATAAAGAACTCGCAAGATTTGAATGGAAATTAATGGAAAATCAGACGAAACCTGACGAAATCATGGAATCATATGTCACTTATGTCACATATGTCGCTTTTCACATGCATCCCCACCACAGAAGCAGTAAAGACTTCAAGGAAACAACTGCAATAGGACAATACCTTTCCCAGCAGAACCAACCTCAGTCCAGCCCACATCTGCACCCTGACCTGTGCCTGACCACTACCTATTTCCAATTTAATCAGGGCTATACAGACAAAACACGGTTGTGCCATGGGACCACCAGTGTCTCCTATAGTGGCCAATCTCTACATGGTAGAGAACAGCGGCCTGAGCTCCTTCATAGTAACCACTCTCACCCATTGGTTCAGATACATGGATGACTCCTGGGTTTAAAATTAAAACACAGGAAGTGGAAGCCTTCACAAAACACATCATACAGCGGACAGCAACTTCAAATTCACTCTGGAAGATGTTAATGGTCTGGCCTTCTTGGCCTGTGCACTGAATATTGAAGGTGATGGACACCTCATCATAGAGGTATATAGAAAACCTACACACACATATCAATATTTACAATTTGACTCAAACCACCCACTGGAACATAAGCTCGGGGTTATCAGAACCCTGCACCATCAGGTTCAGTCTCTGGCCACAAAGTCAGACAGTAAAAGAGAAGGAACAAACATATCAAAAGAATCTTAAAACATGTGGTTATCCCAACTTGGCCTTTGCCAAAACCACAAAAAGGAGAAACAGAGAGGGAGGAAAAAAAGGATCAACGGACCAACGTTGTCATCCCTTATGTTGCAGTATCTGACAAACTCAGGAGGATTTTGCAAGGTTTTGAAAGATGAGTGAAGAACGCCATCTACATCAAACTAGAGAAACCATCTTTGAACAGAGGAGGACAATACTTTAAGACACTATCTTTCAGCCACATACAATACAGTCTTGACTTCCATCCCCAGGACGTTTCATTACAATTCACACCTTAGGACAGATGACTCACAGGGGGTGGGTGGGTCAATGACTCTCAATGATCTGCAAATGACTCCCAACAAAACCAACAGCAGGGTGGGTCCAGGCCTCTAAATGACTCCTACTGAAGTTAGATACCTGAAGAAGAATGCCTCTTGGATGAGAGCTGAAACATCTGAAAGAAACTCAACCCAGTCCAGCTGACCTGTTTCTAGCTCTTGGATACATTGTGATTAATAGACTGGAAAATATTCTGTCGAACAAATAAATACATTTGTTTAAAAAAAGCACAGTGACTTAGTTAAATAAATAGTTATTGTCTCTCCCTGGGGTAACCGTGTGACTTTGCAGAAGCGTGTGAACTCTAACTGAAAGATAGAAAGGTGTACTACTATGGAAACAAGGATAACAGGGAGTTCCCTTGCATAATACGATGTGGGGATCGCTACGTGCAGTTTCGACCCTGCTCTCTGAACACAGTATTGTTCCGTAACCCACAGCCTGCATTCTGCCTGCACAGAGAACAAAAAGCCCACCTGAAACCTGGAGGCATGGCAGTGTTTAGAAAAAAAGCTTGGCCAGCGGCTGTGGGTTGGCCCCGCAGACATAGACTTGGCGATAAGGGAGGCGCATCCAGCCGTGGCCTTGCTCCCATCAGGTCAAAGCCAGCAGATAAGCAGATATTGTCAACACTATCGTTTTTATCCACCCACTATACATCTGCCTGAGCTACCACACTACAGGGGGGAAAACAGCCTCAGGTTTGCCTCTGTGCAGAGAAATAAGCCCATTACAGATGTCAAACAATACATGGGAGAAGAATCGGGGTGAAATAGGGCATCACTATCAGGACTGTACAGAGCGTGAAGCCCAATTGTTGCCTGTCAGTAATGCAGGAGTTCATGTATGAGCCGACTGCCTCAGCGGAACAAAAGCAAACCCTGTTTACAGATAGTTTAAAGATTCATTCAGCCAGAAAGATTTGGCAAGTGTTGCATAACAGAACTCACAGTATTATTTAACTATATAGTGTTTGAAGGGAACTGGAACAGTCCAACCCATAGGCCTCCAGGCTCTTTTGATTTGTATCTTGTCTGCAGGCACTCGGTGTTCTTATACTTAGGCCAAACAAGAAAATCAGCTAGTTATTCATTCACTTACAAATATATAGAAAAGAGCAGTTTATTATCTGACGCTGCAGTATCATAGCTGAGGTAGAAGATGTAGATAACTAGAAACTTTCACAACCAACTCTTCTTTTCATTAGACTGTAACATTTAAAGTTTTTCTAAAGCAATCCCAGTTCAACATACTGAAGTCTGACATAGCAGTTCCAAAACGTTGAAAGTTTATTATCTGACGCTGCAGTATCATAGCTGAGGTAGAAGATGTAGATAACTAGAAACTTTCACAACCAACTCTTCTTTTCATTAGACTGTAA